TGAAGAGACTCGATTGAACGCTAATATGCTGACAGCCGTACCACACAGAGATTCCCAGTTGAACCAATATACTGTTGTTGTGTCTTTGGGAAAAACACTTTACCCACTTTGCCTTGTTTGAATGTGGTGTGTGTGAATGAGTCTACACCAGGGCAGCTGTGGCAAGTTGCTTACCATCAAGTATGGACTGAATGAATAATGCATTGTAAAGCACTTTGGGTGTCTGAAATATGCTGTATAAATCCATAAACTATATAATTAATAATATATATAATAAATGTATATAATACAATATAAAACAAAATGAAATGATTGTGTCTTCCCAAACCTTTATTCCTTTTAATCTTTATTCCGCCTTATGTTACATAATACTCAAAGATTTGAAGAGTCAATTTTTTTCAGTTGTGACTGTGTTATCTGGAGCTGACATACAGTGCTCAAAGTGCCCTGTGTTCAGATTGACAGCTGGCTGCATGTATAAAACATGTTGATAGCATATGATGATATATGATGGATTCTCCCAGTGGAAAATGGATAAGAGCAGAAGACATGTGACATTTGAACAGAGCTGTGGGGCTCACCTCAGGGTTACATGCACAGGACATATGCACCTGCTGTTAGCCTGTACACCTACACATCCATCTTCACAGCCACCATCATTATAGCAGTGCAAAGATGGCTTACTTCATATGTGCATATACTTGGTGTTCTGCTGATTATTCTGAGCTCTTTGACAATGAAGATAATAGTAAAATGGCAGTACCTCCAAAAAATAAGCATTAGTCATTATTCACATGTGTAGATGACTTATAAATATCTTAGAACTGTTATAAAAAGAGAGATACGTGCCACAGAATCCTTATCCTAAATCTCTGCCAAACATAACATCCAAGAACTCATCCAAACCCCTCTTTTAACCTTAACCCTGTAGACTTTCATTGTTATCGGTTCGTCATCATTAGATTCATTAGAAAACCCTTTATACATATTGGGAATTTGCAACTTTTCGTGTGTGCATTTTGAGTTGCGCAAAGGACTAGATAGTACACAGGAAATGTGCAATTTATGACATACAACTCCATGTCCGTTTTTGAAGAGAATACATCAATATAGCATGATATAAACATACATACTCTGAATAAGTCAGTTTAGCGTAACATAGCCCCACTAAAAGCTATAGGAATTCTTTATCTGTCATTCAATGTTTGGGCTGCCCCCACATTGGCAGTACAGAGGAGCCTGAGAACAGACAGGTGAAGCAGGGTCACAGCTAATCTCGTTCTGAAATTCACCTCCAGACATATTGACGCCTCATTGGAGGAGACTTTCATTTACCCATGCCAGCCAATGTTATTGTCATATCAGTGCAAATAAAGAAATGGGAAATATTCAAATAGATGTTTGATTAGGCTGTAAATTTGTCTGCAAATGTTGTATCAAGTGTCACTGCACAATGTGTGATTTCTTTTGGTACTTATGCACGTTTTTGGTATTTTACTCTTTCGCACTATTTATTTTAAAGGTCCTGTATTCTGCTAAATAGACTCTTGTGAGCTTTAAACCATGTTAGAATGTTGTTACCTCCTCAAAAACATACTGTACCTGGAGTTGTGTTTTGTTTTATTCACATTGACATTGACTATCACTGTATTATTAGTCTGTCTACATCTCCAAAGCTGAAAATGCTCTGTTCCACATTAGATTACAGCTACATTTTGCCTTTAGTTCAGAGGAGATTGGCAATTCCAGGACTGAAATCATCCAAATGATTCTAGTGAAGGTGCGTGAAGTTTTAAAACAGAGTGGCACTACCTGCATTACCAAATGAGATCACAAGATGGAACAGAGTGTTTTCCATTTGAGAGAAAACTCAGCCTAAATATGCAGGAATTGTGCAAACGTGTGAATTAAACAAAACACAACTACAGGTACTTTTTTGATGAGGAAGCAACTTTATGACATAGATCAGAAACAGCATAATATGAGCCCTTTAAATGAACTTTAAACATGAGTACAAAGGAGACAAAAATAGTCTCCTAAGCATAGTTGTTGCCCTGGTTTAATTCTGATTTGGTCCTAGATCTAAGTTACTCTTTTTTTTCTCCAGTTTGGCATTTCTAATTTTAATTCATCTGAAAGTTCCCATTATTTTGTGAGAGTTTAACAATCATTGCTGTAAGACAAGTACAAAGGGCAAAAATGGTGAAGCACTGTATTAGTTATCTTTGTTACTGTGAAAAAAGAAGCCTATTTGGACAAATGTTTCAAATGAGTTCAGAGAAAAGCTACGGCTTTGTTCTTCAAAACATTCAGAGTAAAGACAAAACGGAAAAAATAATAAGGAAACTTGACTTGTATTGTCCAAATGAAAACTTGCCCTCCCCAGATATCGCACATTTGAGCCTGTTACTGTCAGTAGTACTTTTAATGTAGTTTGTGGAATAGCCCTCTCTACTGTACTGATGAAGTATACTGAGACTTGGAGTGATGCCTTTTGTTCGTTGTAACGAGTTTGACCCGTTTTTCTGATAAATCACACTCTTTCATTTCTCAGTCTGTTTTCTCTCCATCTTTTCCCTCTGCTTCTGCCACATTTCTGACTCTATCTGGGCTCCTCTCGCTGCAAATGTGAATCAGAGTTGTCCTAATCCTGAGCAGCCCTTTGTGTGAACAATGACCTTCTTATTCCCACTGAAGATGGAATCGTCCTGGACATTCCCATGGATTATCCCACTGCTATGGACTTATGCTCACATGTATTTTTTGTACTATATAGCCAATGCACATTTTCAAAATCAGCAATTTCACACTTCTTTCTTTCAAATAAGAGTAAATTAGTTTTAGAAACACAGTTGGAATTAGCATTAATGTTCATTGTGCTCTTTCTCAGAATTGGAATTACTACTATACATTTAAAACTATAATAATAATTGATCCAGATTTAAGCAAAACCATGATAATTTAATAATTTGCTGCATTGCCTGTTGTTTACATGTTTGATAGTAGTGGGAAAAAGTAAAGTGGGATAGTGGGAAAAAGTAAAAGAAATTTGTCTTTAATCAACTTTGGTTCTGTCTAAATGTTTAAATATTACACTATCAAATTGAAGACAATACCTTTCACACCAGTGTAAGCAAAATTCACTGTCCTTTATTTTGAGCATTAGATTCACTTGTGATTGTTTGGGTGTGCCACATCGTAGCAGGTGAAGGGCAGAGAGAGCTCGCCTCTGGAGTTATCTGCTCAGCCAAGCTCAGACAGAGACAGGAGGAAGAGGAGTGGGACACTCAGATAGGGACGGCACACTGCGATGCTCAAGTGTGGGAGGAAGATAGTCAGGGACTGCTGAGATACTGGGAGTAAACTACTGCTGTAGAAGGAAGGAAGCAAATGGATGAGGTATGTTGAAACCAAGGAACTTTTTACCCTCAATGTTAATGTTCAAAGCAAAGTAGCAAATACATTTGTGACAAAGGCCAGACTGTAAACTGCTGGATAACTGGGCATCTGTGTCTCTTACTATCCTGAATCCACCTATGTCCCAGAAAGGAACTTTGTTGAACCTTTGTTATACCATGGTCCATGTGATCTGACCAACAATAAGTGAGTAGACCCAAGGTTTTGCCTGATTGACCGAAGATCAAATCCAACATTGTTTTATAACCTAAAACTGCAATATTTTAGGCTGAGTTGATTTTACATGCTGTCTCATCATCGCTTAGTAAGAAAAATTGCTCCAGTCTCTCTAGACATAATGCATTTGAACCCCGCTCGTTTGAACAGAGGAGCTTTGAAAAAGAGTTTCTTTGAGTGCAGATCAGACGAGTGTAAAAGTCAGTTATTAACCTCCTTGTGTCTTCTCCTCAAATCTACAGGTGCACAGATGGAGAGGGGCCAATAGGCTGGGGAAAAGTGCTTTTGAAGTATGGTTGAAGGGAGTGGGACTCCATCATAAAACAGTAAAATGTCTCAGGCAAAGGTGTATTCAGACACTTAACCTTTCGTATGATCTTTGAGATCCATGGCATTGGTGCATCAGTGGCTCTTGTATTTGACTATATTGTATTGTATTGCATTCTAAGTGAAATTACAAAAGTCACACGTTTAGTTTGTACCTTTCTTTAGCCAGAGAGGAGGGAGCCTAAAATCTGCACTCAACACAATTTAATGCACGCCACATTAGACATTAATGCAAAGAACTACTCTAGAATGCTTTCTAATGCAGTTGAATCCAGGATGGGCCATCACTCACATTTATTACTTTATTTTTGTAGTTGGTAGCGCAGGCATAAAATTCAGTTGCCAATTTTGCTGATGTAATGAAAGTGAACTCAAGTTTAATTTCTTTCGTTTCTTCCTCTTGTTCTTTGCAAATATTGTATGATTAAAAGTTCTCTTGAAGCAGCAGGACATCTTGTTGAGTTCAGACCCATGACTCAGAACTCACTGCAGGAGTCTTCAGGATCAATGGCCTCCAGTAGATGAGTGTGCGGTTACATTTATTCATGATTTACTCTGAAGAACAGAGTAATGATGATGATGCTGACGTTATGATAGCCTCTCAACACTCGGTGAACTTCTGAAGTCGTTTGAGTCAGCCCCTGTGATCTAAGTGGGGCAATGATTCTCCTCCGACCTCCTTCTAACCCAAACCTTCATTTTCTTTCTTCTTTCATCTCTTCCTCTCATTACACTTATTTTAAAATACACACTTTCTAAATCCTTCCTCGTCACCCCCACCATCCCCAAGTCCCTCACCCCTCCGCTCCTGGAAAGCTGTGGAAATCAGGACAGCGCAGCAGCGGAGGGGTTAAGACGCAGCGCGGCCTGTGATTGGCTGCAGGCCGGCGCTCTGAACCAGCCTACAGAAAGAGGTAACCAGGCAACCTCGGAGAGAAAGTGAGGGAGAGGGGCCAGAGGAGAGAGGAGGGAGGAAAAAACGCGCTGAAAGAGGAGGACTGGCATAGTTTTGTGGGGATTGTGCAAAAAGATGTAACGAGGCTCGCGGTGACTCTCCCCGGGATGGAAAAGTGGATTACTGCCCCTGCCGACGCTCACTGTGGATGTCTGAATAAACCAGGAGAGGACACGCGCGCATGAATGGATCTAAAGCCTTTTTTCGTGAAATGGGAACTAACTGTGCACGTTTTCGCTTTGGTGTGAAGGTAAGTGGGCCGAATGCAGAGAAGTGTCTCGTGTGTGTGGCGGAGGAGTGTGTCGCTTACTTTGAGTTGTGGAGAGCGGAGAGAGGAGCCTGTGGATTCACTCACTGCAATGAATAATCTACGGCTGCCGCTGGTGCATCGTGTCGGCGCGTGCAAGCTGGTGCTGGGAGGGTGCAGAGGTAGTGACCCTTCACAAAAATGCACGGACAACATCGGGATTCATGTCTGTTCCGATTGTGTGTTACGGTAATTTGCTGTGTTTGTGCCTTCTGTACCCCACTCCAAAGTGTCACGCACGGTCCTTTCCCGCTCTGCTGCGTAAGGTGCACGTCGTGGTCCTCCCTAGTCTGTCCCAACACCAACGCTCGCCTCGGTTAGACACGACTTTAGGACTGCAATGCTACTTTATGCCATTTCGTTTCATGTTTTTTAATTTAGCGATGGTTGTTTCGATGCTGTTTGCACTTTAGATAAACACTTAAGTGCCCGCTTGCCTGCCTAGCGGTCCTCGTTTCTAAACTTTTGCGCCGTGCATTGTAGCGTAACGTCCCCGCTGCGTAAAACTGATGTTCACGGTGTGGTCCTCGCGCAGGGCTGGCTCGCGCTATGCTGAAGTGAAACGTGCTCGCGGTGATGTCGTGGATGTTGGTGGAGTAATAGTGTTGAGATGTAATCAAAGCTGTGGGTTTGCTCCGTGTCGGATTTGAGCTGTGGAAAACAGCAAAGACGCATGGGGAAACAGTTGAATGGGCGACCCGGTCAGTTTGCTTTGGGGGCCCCAGCCAAGCTTCGCTGCAGCTAAAAGCCGCATTAATCATGGAACTGCCTCTCTGCAGCCCCCCTCTAGCTCCGACGCGCTCATATGTCTGCTGTGATGGTGTGCACTCTGTATGTGGATAGAGGGTGCAGTGTGGACGCCTCTGGCTCCAAGGCCATTTGAATGAAGTCCACTTTAGGCTAATCAGGTGATAGAGATATGATCGCAGTAGTTGATATTAATTCGTGCAAATGAAATTAACAATAATAAAATATTTTCATGACCCATTGTATCAGACATTTATTAGAGCCCACTTTATATGACATCCCTACTCAAGACGCATGGTTCATCACATTGTAAATGGTCTGAGAATTTGACGCAGCTTTCCCTGTGCAGTCGAGATAGTATTTTGCCAGTGTTTGTTCTGAAGCTTTAGCTGTGAGCACTTGTCCAGCGCTGCCTGCCACACACAGTCCTTACTTCAGCCTGTATGAGCCCAGCAGGCTACTGCAGGTCGTCATAGAAACCACAAGTATTGAGAAGAACTCAAAGACACACAGTGGAGAGTTTTCTTTTAATTCTTATCTCAGTCTGGTCTGTCCAGTCCCAGCCTTCCTTTTCTTTGTCACCACTTCTTTCACTTCTCCAAACTTGGCCTTCCTCCTGCAGAGCTGTGTAGTGCCTCTGTCTACTGTTTAAGCGTGGACAATGCAGTGTGAGGGAGCATTTGACTAAAGCTCTAAAAGAGGGCTTTTAGGCTGGGTCGTCATGACATCAAGAATTCATTGTAAAATGGAGCTTACATTTGCTCTTCCTAAATCTTTTCTCTTTCTCTGCAGAACTTAGGCCTGTAACCGTGAATTTGTCTCTCAGTTGGAGACGAGTTGTACCTCTGATCTGAAGACTCTTTTCTTCACTCAAAACTCTTTTATGCTGCACAGAATCCCATTTGAAACCTGTAAACGTTTGTGTAAAATGACAACCTGCTACCATGAGGCTATAGGAGCTGCTTCTGTATGTGCGGTTAACTCAGCTTTTTAACAACAAACTCCGATTACTATCTCCAGATTGTCTGAATCTGTCTTTTGAAACATAAAATAAATAAATAAATAATACCTTTGACTCAAGAACAAAACTGTTCAAAAATAACGGCACAGTCCCATTTTCTCCCTCACCTGTGTGCAGCCATTTGCATTACCACCTACTTCGCCAAGGCGCCCCAGTGACACCTGTTACTATGGATACAATTCAAGCCTACAGTAAATTGACGGCCTATTCAAGGTACCTGCTCTGTGAAAGTGTGAGTGTTCCTCGCTGACATCTCTTAAATTAACTGTGATGAAAACAATGAGGAGGCAGCTGCAGAAGAATTAGAAAAAAATGCTTATGCTCTTGGGTTGGGGCCATTTTGTTGCAAGCATTTCATGACAGTTATGAAAAGGCAATCCTAACAGTCATGTGTAAAGGTTAGGTTTCTCCAAAATGGTTGGTTGAAAAGCAAAAAAATAATGGATGTTGAAATGTCAGTGCGCGCAATCACTGCAGTAATCAGAAATCAACAGCTGTGTGCACTTACAGAGCTCACACCCACCTCACGTTCACATTTATGATCAACTGTAATGGGCTAATCACGGCAGAAGACAAATATGCAACAAAATGTTCACCAACAACCAGAAGAGGGACTTTTTAAATGATTTCCATGCAAATTATAATTAGCAGTACATGTAATCTTAACACTTGACAATAATGAAGACACTTTAGGTTTACTTTCTGTGGGGTTATTTCATTGTTTTCCTTATACTATATGCAAATTATAGTCCATAATTATAGACTTTGTTTCAGACAAGACAGTTGGTATTTTTCTTTGCTTTCAAGTAATAAGAGATTTAGTTTGTGTTCACACTATCTAGAGCCTGTTTGCAGGACTAAACAGCTAACATTCACACCAATTTACTGCAATTCAGAGTCTTTTTTATATGCCAAAGGGAGAATACACAGTTTGCTCGAGATTCTCAGTGTAACAGATATGCTAGAAGTTGTGTCAGTAGTAGTAATACAATTAGGGATGCACTGATCCGATACTGGTATCTGATATTGGCACTGATACTGAAAAAAATTGCTGGATCAGATATCGGTTTTGAAATATTTGTTTAGCTGATATCCTAGTTTGAATTAAATACTATTTACTAGGGATGTAACAATAACCAAAACATCATGATATCGTATTGTCAAAGTTCTCACAATAATATCATGTACCCTCACAATATATCAAATTACAGGTTTCTTTGCTTAGATTAAGAGTTATGGTGCAGCAACAGCTACAAAAAAGACAGAGGGAACTACATAGACCATGATCCTTTGCTCCATTTCAATGTAGACTGAAGAAATAACAGTTCTAAGCACTTTTAAGTCTTAGTTCTTTGGATTGGATGGAGGAAAAAATAGCATATTTACAGTTTTGTTAGCCTCCATAAAATATCGCAATAAATATACCACGAGATATATATTGTGAAAATAGCATACTGAGAGATTTGGATATTATTACATCTCTAATCATGAGCCTCCCCTCTATATCATGAGCTTTCCCACAATATCACAATAAATATCGTACAGTGAGGTTCATACTGTGACGATATCGTATCGTGAGACTTGAATATCGTTACACCTCTCCTCTTTACTGGTCATGACTGGTTTAGAAAGCCTTTATACAAAACTGTTGTGTAGTTACTTGAGGGATCAGTAACACATATGGGTCAGTTTTGTATTGTTTGATTTTTGTTTAAAGGAAATAAATGCTGTTTTAAGTCTCTGCACTGGTATCAGTTGATATTGGGAATCAGCAGCTACTTAAAGCTATCTGTATCGGAAATTAAAAAGTTGTATCGGTGAATCCCTAAACATAATTCTCACTTTTACTATATACCTGTATAGTAGTATTCACTCCATAAATACTACATTACCTGCACAAAACAATGCCTTTGTGCAGGTCCTCACTCTCTTTTGTTATCAGCTGAGGTATTTTTGATCTAACATGTTAAATATTGGTCTACTCCTTCAATAATGGGGTTTGCCTGTTACTGAGAAACCAAGAGGCTGAATTGACTGGCTCTTGGCTGGCTGCCCTACCCATTGATCCACGTTCAGTGACTGTGTGTGCGTGCGTGACAGTCTTTTAGATATAATTGACACCAGGAATATCCACAGCAGCCCATGGGGAGTCGATGTATATGTACTTGCTTTATTCCTATCCACTAGAAAGGGGAGTTAGGTGTTTGCGCTACCTGCTAGATCAATAATTATCAGACAAATGAACCCGGTAGCTTGGTATTGGATGTTGCTATCATTAGAAGCATTCACACAGCGGGCGCAGAGGGCAGTGAGTGCGGGCTTGTCTAGTGCTGTGGTGATGATAGAACTGCCAGCTAATCTGCAGAGCACTCTGTAATCTGTAATCTTTTTAAAACACTCACATATCTGGCTGCATCATTGGGATTAGCGTGCATAGACACAACACACTGGACCCTAGAGTCATTTAGGAGCACAAAAGGCCGCCACTGCCTCATGCGCATGATCCAACCAACGTCTTATTTTCAGCTTTTTAAAGATGTTTTTCAGTCACATTCTTCGTTGTAATCAAATGACAAGTTGTGTTTTTCTTGTAGCAATTTCAAATCTTGGACTTGTGCCTAATAGAGAAACAGAAGCTAAATATTATCTTGTTGAACCAAATGTTGATTTTGTCAATGTAGAACCGTGTTTACAATTATTTATGCACTTCTCCCTATGTCTGATTATGTAGTGCTGTAATGGATTCAAATTGGAGGAAATAGTCAATTATTGTTAAGAGTTTTACACGCAGAAGTAAGTGGATACTTTGTGACAGTCCCGCGCCTGGATAAATGGTCTGTCTGATGAAACCATCTGCATAGTGACAGCACAATCTGAGGCATTTGATTCCAGGGAACATTTTGAAATAAAATTAAATTATCCAAAATTGTTTCAACAACTTCTTATACAGTGCATCATTGATTGATTATTGATTGCTTTTTAAAGGTACACTGCGTAACTCTTCTGTTTGAGGTCCATCACCTTCTAGCCAAGCTGGCGCCACCTACTGCCTCCACTCAATTTAATTTTTCTCCAGCGACTAAGCCAGGAATCGGAATACACTAGACTGTTTGCAAGATTCCAGGAAGTGCAAATCCGGGCACCAGCCAATCAGCGAAGAGCCATACATTCTGTG